AGTGGAGTCATTTTTTTTTGTCTGGCATTTTGAGGGCTATGTGGCTACTAAGCTGATGAGAATATGGTTGATTTTAATGCCTGCCTCCTGTTCGTAAATTTGTAGAAGAAAAAAATTGATTTACAGAAGATTTTTTTTAATGATCTCAAATTTTCTGGCTTTTAAATAAAAGATTTACATTGATAAATAATTTACCCATGAAAAATACCAGATACTTTTCAATAGCTGAAAAAGTGGGAATGGGTGTCAACTTCCAAGAGAAAAGAGAAGAACCTTCCGCATTTACTTTTTGTCTGGCATTCGAGAGAATTAAAGGTTTTGTTGTGAAAATAACGATGAAAAATCGCCAGACGATAACCACAGTTCGAAATCGAGTTTTCCGGCGAAACATTCTGTGGACATTTCGAACAGGGGGCAGGCATTAAAACCTCTCATATTCTCATCAGCTAACTGGCCACATCCATCCCTCAAAATGCCAGACAAAAAAAAAAATGACTCCACTGAACAGGCCCTAGCTCAGGGTCTATTATCTAAACAAGAATACAACAGGGTGATGCAGAAAAATGGATCGTATGGGACCTCCACAGAAATTTTAGCGCTTTCTGAACTTTACCAAGTAAATTTTAAGATTTATAGACAATCTGGGAATGATGATTTGGAAAACATTTTGTCTTCATCCCCTATTTGCATAAATAAAGCAAATCATGAAAACTCAATAAATTTACTTTTTTCTGGTAATCCTGATTCCGGACATTACGACCTTATTATTTCTCCTGAAAAAAAGTTTAAAAATAAAAATGGTCTTAAAATTCACCACTCAAGAATACATAGAAGCACTAGCCAAAGCCAAGCCAGCCAAAAATCTACTTCAACTATTTTTTCTCAACAAAAAATCTTATCAGCTGATCATATTTGTGAAAAAACTCTGAACGATGCATTATGCACTATGACATCTTCAGTTCCAATTTTATGTCGTATTCCAAAAGGAGCTAGAAATACAACTTCGTCAGAAAATTGTATTTTAGTGGACAAGGTAGCTAAAGAAAACTCTCTCAGGGCTTGGATACTTTTTTAAATTTTTCCCTATACCTGTTTGTGTCTGCCAAAAAAACACAAGGAATCCCTAACGTCAGATGTCAAAGAATTTTTTTTAAAATGGACAAACAACAAAAAAAAATTCTGAAAGAGCTCATAGATATTTATACATCTTCAACAGTTATTAGAATAGAGAAAAAATGAAATTGACAAGAATAATAGCTCACCAAAAAAAGTAGAATCTAAAATTTTTGAAGGCAATATCCAAGGAGCAGTTATGCCCCGAAAAATCAAGAAATTTGGTCCCAAAAAGTCAAGAATTTTTTTCAAAACTACAAGAAAAACACCCAGAACCTACTCAATTATCCCCATTTTCAAAAGAAAGGCAGGCAAATACCACCAAATAATATTAACTTTTCAAATTCCGACGTCAAAAAGGCAATTTTCTAATTTAAACCAGGATCAGCCGGCGGCATGGCTTCCTTTAAGCCTCAACACCTCAAAGATATGGTATCAGAGAAGCTGAGTTCTACATCTTCTCTTTATTCAGCACTGGCCAATCTCACCACGAGAATTCTTCAAAACCCGTTACCTCCAGAAATAAAACCAGTTTTGTTTGGAACCTCCCTATGCGCTTTAAATAAGAAAGATGGTGGAATCCGACCGATTGCAGTAGGATGCTGCTTACGTCGGCTTCTTTCCAAAATTATTTGTTATAGCATTTCTGAAAAGGTTGGTATCCACTATCCACCTTCGTCCGTTACAATAGGGTACTTGCATGGAAAATTAAATTGATTATTGTTTATTGCAAACTGTAGGAAATCGAAAAAAAATCGTTACTTTTTTTTTATTTTGCCCAAATATGATTATTCCGGAAGTTATTCAAATATTAAGTTTGGTATATATAGATATACTGAGCATGTGCAACGTCACTTATTTATTAGATAAGTGACGTCATAGGCAGATTTCATAGTGTTGTATTTCCGTCAATTTTTGACTAAGAAGCAAAAGAAAAAACACGTGTTGGATTATTTTTCATGGACTATCGAAATCAGCATTAAAAAAAATTGATGCAAGGAGCCTATTGGATATGGTACGAAGTGCGGCTCTGAAGCTATCACTCATGCAGCTCGTCGTTTTGTTTCAATTTCACATAGCTCGCTAGATTTTTTTCTAAAAATTGATTTTTTCAATGCTTTTAATATGATTTCCAGACCCTGTTATCTTTCTGAAGTTTATAAAATTATTCCAGAGAATTTCATACATCTGTCAAAACTGGTATTCCAACCATAAATTGACATGTTTTGATTGTTGATTTGAACCAATCAGATTGTAATTAGGCGATAATTTGCACTAGTGCAAATTATCAGATAATTGCATACTAACTGGTGCAAAAACTGGTGTTTTGACATTTTTTGACAAAAAATTTAAATTTTTGATTTATGAAATTCTCTCATTAAATACAACTAGTACATACACTAGTTATATTACTATTGAATATTTTTTTTCTGCGATTGACAAGAAATGTCAGCATTTTTGACCGGTTAACTGGTCGCAAAACTCAATATTCTGGTATTTCAATTATGTTTCAATAGTTAAGGGCTAAGCTAAGGAATCAATGAATAACAATACGGCAAACACTTTTCCGGCCTAGGCCGGGAAAGTGATTCTCGTACCGCTGAATAATTGGAACTAAAAGACAAACATTTAACAGGTATTTAACCGATCGCAGAAAAAATAGTATGTGTATTTCGGTGGAAAATCACATTCTCGGCCTTCGGTGTTTGCCAGCCTCGGCTACGCCTCGCCCGTCAACTTACACCATCCGCCGAGAATGTGTCACTTTTCCACCTAAATACACAATATACTATTTTTTAATTAACGAATGCTACAGTAAACTCTCTTTTTTATCTTTTTATGAAAACATTATTCTTTCTCAAAGAGGCGTTCAGCAAGGAGGACCTCTTGGTGCTGTTCTTTTTTCCCTTGCTTTGCATAATCTCATATCCTCACTCAAATCAAAACTTAATCTTTGGTATCTTGATGATGGCACTATCTCTGATGATTGGGAAACGGTTTTGAAGGATTTTCAGAAAATAATTTCTTTTTCAGAAAAAATTGGTCTAACTGTAAACTTTGAAAAATGCGAACTGTGTATTCTTTCGGAAACGAACGAGGATTTATCTAATCAAATGAACCATTTCAAAAGCATCTCCTTTGGTATTAAAATTATTCGAAAGGAGAATCTATGTCTTTTAGGATGTCCCCTTTTTGAAGATGGCTTAGCCCCAGTTTTAATGTAATTTTTTTTTTAAATTTTTATGTCAAAACCTTGAAAAAACAAGTTCTCACATTTCTTTATATATTTAAAAAAATTCTCTGTCAATTCCTAAAATGATCTATTTACTCCGCTGTTATCCTTGTTGGAGAGAGCCCGATATTTTGAAAGAGTATGATTTAATTTTAAAAGAAGCTGCTGAAAACATAACAAATTGTAAATTTTCTGAAGAATCGTGGCAAATCTGTAATTACCCGTCAAATTAGGAGGTCTAGGCATTCGAGATATTTCCACATTATGATGCTTTTCAACATTCATTTCTTCAAATAGATTTATTTCACCTTTCCTTTCCAAAATTTTCCAAAAAAATGCTCAATGATATTTTGAAAAAAACTTTCGCTTCAGCAGTAATAAAAACAATTTTGGAACCTGTTGGAATTCACAGAGCTGATAGAAGGCGAGCTGATGGGTTGACTTCGGTTCCTTGGAAGGGCGAAAAACAACTTGTCTGGGATGCTACTTGTAGCGATACTTTGGCTTCTTCATATGTAAATTTTACCAGTATAAAATCAGGGAAAGCAGCCAGAATTTCGAAAAAAAAAACCAATAAATAAAAGGATATTTTAAATAAATATTATTTTGTACCTTTTTGTGTGGAGACTTTTGGACCATGGGGATCGGAATCAAAAAAATTAATAAAAAAATTAGGTAAACGAATTCAGACTTTAACAGGTGAGGCAAGATCGACAAGCTTTTTAAAACAAAGAATCAGCATTGCAATACAATTCGGAAATGCCGCATCGGTTTTGGGAACAATGCCAAAAGAAACAGCTCTGGATGAGATTTTTTTACTTTAGTTTTAAGTTTTAAGTTAATTATATTAAAAACATCAATAAAAAATAATAATTACTATTTAAATAATGTGGTATAACCACTATAACCAGACATGAATTTCTTAAAATCTAGTAAGCGAAACTATTTTTGTGGGTTGTTTTTGTAGCTCAGGGTTTGCCTGAATGAAATATAATTGGTTCTCACACCAAATTTTCTGCCAACTACTATAAAACACACATTACGCAGTAGTATTTAAAACTATAAATTTTTTTTTTCATTGGATATCACTTATTTTATTTTGTTTTTGATTATACCTATTGGACACATTATTATTCTTGTCGAAAAAAATTTCAAATAAACACCATATTGATATTATTGAAGAAAAAGAAATTATGGCTGTTTTGAAAGTGTCTTGAACAAATTTATTTTGAATTTGGTATTGGCATCAAAAATGTATTTCACCAAAAAAAATTATCAAATCAAATTTAAAAACCTAGCCTACTAAACAAAACATGAATTATGGATTTAAATGTAAACTGTAAACATTTAGCCGCAATGGGTTGCGAGTCGCGTCGCCGGCGCCGTTGCCAAGTTGTGTAGCAATAAAGTAGGCTGCCGCACATCGAGGGACATTACTTTAGTTGCCGACTGTACCTACTCTATACTTATACCTGTACAGCAAAGGTTTCTCTTTTTTTCATATACGTATTATCCTTCAGCTAAAAATTTTAATTAGCTTACGAACTTTTGTCTTATATAGGAACCTACTCATGTGATGCCTCATATAGCTATTTATATATTTCGCTTCTTAGAAATATCATATTTATTTAGTTAATTTCCTTTTTTGTTTCAGTTGACGCAACAACCCACCACATAATCGTTACCAAAAAAAGAAAATGAACGGGATGATTCAAAGTTCATACAAAGCGATGTACCGTCCAAATTTCTACGAAAGCACCTGCTTGCGTTGCAACGAAACGGTATACCAGGTGGACCGTGTCGGACCTTTAAAAGACTTTACGTTTTTTCATAGTGGGTGTTTCAAATGTGCCGTTTGTGGGACCAAGTTGACACTTAAAACGTATTACAACAACCAGCACCGGCAGGAAGACAAAGAAGTGTATTGTAGCGGGCACGTGCCCAAAATCGGACCGGGACATTTGGACGGTTCTTCTGTAGGAATTAGGAGCGCTCTTAATGTACCGAAATCGTCCAATTTTGTTAATGAACAAATTCGAGGGCCCGGAAGGAGTAGTCTTGATGGAGGAGAAGGTAAGAGAATATTATAGATCAGGTTTTATGGAATTAAACGTCCTCAATGTCTTTATTCTATGAACCGTGGTCGTATATTGCTCAGATGCGCGAACCCGATCGAATCGATTCAATATGATGCGAAAGCTTTCCATCAATTTTATATTTGTCATTAAAAACCTTCAGTCGCATCATGGAAGGTAAATAGGCATGGGCTGGGCTTATAGTCGCAGATAGTTGTATCATCTAAATTTATGTCGGTCAAAGATCTAACATTATTAAACCAGTCAAAAAATCTGTTCTTAATGTTATCTGCTCCTTCCGAATTTAGTTCCAACTTGAAATTAACATTTTTTTTTCTGTTATGTAAGACTTCCTTTATCGATATAGCCAGGAAATAAAACCCATAACAGGAAAAAAACTGTCGGGAGAATTATTTTCTTGGTAAGTTGTTCATTAATTAGGCTGCATTGATAGTAATGGACTGCAGTTCAAGCTAAATACAAACCTAGTAAAGTCTGTCGATTTTAATCTGATATTCCAAAAAAATGTGAGCTGGTGGTTCCCTACGTTAGAACGCCAATCATTGACGCAATGACGCCAATGGTCACCTGACGTCACACCTGTTTTTGCCATATACTTCACCCCCCACCCACTCCTCATATGGAAAGTGTCGGATAAAAATCGACGGACAATATGTTCGTATATTTTTAAATAACTACGTATCGATATGAACTATGAACTATGAAATTATTTTCTCTCCGTGGAAGGTTTATTTCATATCTGAAATTAACTGTCCATTTCAAAATTGAATTAAAATGATCAATTTCAAAATTGAATTAAGGCCGCGTTAATGGCCGCCATGTTTAAACTGTGATTGGTTGATTTTTCGAAACTTGTTTTAAGGTCTTTAAAAAAACGGCACATCAGAATTGGCTCAAATTTGGCATAAACATTATTTGATCGATTATCTACAATTCCTTATTTTGGTTTTTCAATATTCAGCTTTTTTTTTAAATTCAAAAAACATGTTAGCAACCACCAAAACAATTAAATGTGTTGGTGGTTGCATATTTGCATGTTTATCAAGCTTGGATCCGTGAAAAGAATATTTTATTGATAACCACGAAAAACTAAAAAAAATTATTGCGGATTTTTTGAGATGACCTTAAAACGAATTTTGAAGGTGAAAACAGTTCAAGCAATTTCAAGTAGATGGCGCCACGGCAAAAAAGCTACATTGGGAGCATTATAGTTGTATATTTGTCTTTCTCTGTCACTAAGTGTTTCACCGACAAACAGATTTTGTTTTGGACAAATAAGGCCGCGTTGATGGCCGCCATGTTTAAATTTAGTTTTTGAAAATGACGACTGCGTCACTCTACACATACGGTTCAATATTTTATTAGACCTTAAAATAAGTTTCGAAAAATCAACCAATCAGAGCACTGCATTCTCATCGTGTTGCGGCCTTAAAATGATCAATTATTGATTTTTCTAGAATTTTTTTATTAGCAGAGTATCAAAACCTTCCACCGCATTCCTCACACTTGTAGATTGTAGTAGATTACGTAGGGAGTTGTTTTGGCTACTACAGCCTGTAGGCACTGCTACCTTTCCAGATATTTTGTGCATGAGACCACATTTTAGTTTGTGTGCAAGAAATTAAGGCTTTTTACGAAGAAAACTATTTCCTCGAGACAAGGTAGGCCTACTTCTTGGGGTATTAGGTTGCATTCGGTGGTGGACTCTGTCTTTGACTCTGGATATACGGTTGATGTAGTTCCGTTTATTTCTGCTGTATTTTTCAACATTATTCATCTTACAATTGGGATGCCTACGTGATATCACAATGATTGCAGTGGGAACGATTTCCTTGTTTGTCTTTTTTATGTCATTCTCATGTAGAATGTAAGCAGGTGAATTGTCTAGGATGAAGCGGTCTTTTCGATAGGATTTCGCTTCTGATGTATTGATCTATTGCGTTCTCCAAAGTCTTGAGTAGTAAGATTTAAGTTCGTCTTTCGGCCGTGGATCTTTCTTTGGTATGAATATCAGGTACACTTTTTTTCCTCGCGCTTAAGCTTAGGCCGGTGTCTCATGCATCCGTTTTCTGACGAAAGATGTCCGAAAAATCTTCTATTCTGACATATTTTTATACGATTATGTCAGAATAGAAGGTTTATCGGACATCTTTCGTCGGAAAACGGATGCATGAGACTCCCCTTAGGGTACGTTTTCATGCATCCGTCATCCGATGGTACGATGATACGAAATTGTTCCGATTGGTTGAATTTACGGATTTTCATTGGTCAGAAAATTCAAACATTTTTGTATGTTTGAATCCGACATCCGATGAAGTAATGGTTGGTCAACAATTGTCTTTCAAAAATTGTCCATTAAAGACAAAATACACTCAAAAACTGTGGAAATACTAAAGTGCGTTTTTTTTTAAAGATAAAAGTCAAACTGACATTAGGTTGGCAATACAATGTAAAATTGTCAATGCTTTCAAATTTTTAATGTAGAAAAGGCTTGTGTTGCCAACATAGTTACTAAATTTTTGACTTGGGGAATTATCTTTAAAAAAAAAACAGATTTTAAATCAAATTATGATTTATGGACACGAGTCAAATTCGGAAATTTGAAACGAAATAATGCCAACAACAACAAGCAAAAGTAAACACATGGAAAAGTGAGGTTAGAATTATATGTCAAAAATGTCAGTTCATGCGATAGGTATCGTATGAAAAGTTAAAATTATTTCAACTTCATCCGACGTCGGAGAGAAGCTAAAAATATTCGGATAAAAAATGGCGGGAAACAGTTTAACCAATAGGAGCTTCGTCGTATCATCGTGCCATCGGATGACGGATGCATGAAAGCGTACCCTTATACCTATAGGTATTCTTGCCTATATTGGCAAGCAATGGTACATTTAAACCATCATTTTATTGCTGCTATTGAAATTCTTTTTTTATTATCATCATCGTCCTAAATAGTGCATTGTTATTTTCAAGTCTTTTAAACTTAGTAAAATTTCTTTTGGTAAAAAGGATTTCACCACAGCGTGCAGCAACCCTAATCACGTATTGCCTGGCTAGCCAAATGGCGAACTCCAATAGAATTTGCTGCTTTGCCAAACTTGACGGAAAGAGTAATAAACAAGTTGGTGACATATTTCTTTTTGCTATATGGGCATTTGTAGTATTTTGAAATAGAAAAAAATCCGGCAACATTGCGAAATGATGGATGTGGACAGGCGGGATTATTCAGAGGCATGATTCTATTGGTTAGAGGCTAAGGTTAGAGCCTGAACGACAGCACAGTGGCGAGGTTATTGGCGACACTTACAAAAAAAATTCTAATAATTTTATTGGTTCATTTCCTTGGTGTTTTCGGTACCACTGAGACCAAAGACATGGCTGTCATCAAGGGGTGTCAGTTGAGGTGTCAATGAATATTCTTAGGTTACTCCCCACTTTTCTTTTCCCTTCCGTCTCTATCAACTTACCACTTGCCAGACTATATCTGTTGTCACCTTAAATCTAAGGCTCATCTTTACTTTCACTGAGCTTCCATTTTCTCGTATAATAAAGCCCAATTGGTTTTGTTGGTAACCGTAACCAGGTAGAAACGACTTCTCTAACATAAAACGTTATCAATTAAACATGCAAATCTGGATTTTAAGCTTTCAATAGTGGATTGATAGGTTTCAATTACTACCTACTCTAGCTTAGATTTTGCGATGATAGATTGCAGCAAATATTGCAACTTGTCATCATCTATAGGCTTATTCAGGGATTCCTTTGAATATAAGTACTCTAGAACTTTTGTTGTAACCCCACACATTATTACCTAGTCCCAATGAACTATAACCAAAAACTGGAATGCTAACACATAAGGACGAACTTGAAGCCTAGTGCGGCTGCTGCGGAGGGGATACCTGTTTTTGTCGCACTCATTATGTTAAATGGCGAAAATTGGTTCCAACACGTATTCCAATTGATGAAACCTGTGAAGGGAAATCTGACAAAACTTTCGAAAACGTCATATGTCAGTGAGCAACAGAAAAAAACAACATTCCCCCTTGTGGCATCTGTCTTTCATGGCTTCATTTTTTTGGCAGATATGGCAATGTGTGCGCATTCCAGTTTTTAGCTATAGTTCATTGCATAGTCCTTTATGTACATTAATAATAGGTTATTTAGGTTAAGCTTTCCATTCTATGTGTTACAATTTTCCTTCTTCTATTTTTCTCATCATTATAATCAACTACAGAATTATTCCTTTACTAAATTATATCGGGTCTTCAAAAAAAAAAACCAATCGAAGATTGCTATGGGTTTTTAAACGGATGTCTTAGCAATATTTTTCTTTAATATTGTCAATGAACTTCAATGTCAAAATATCATGTCAAAAATCTTGAATCTTGACCAATAAAGAAACATATTGCGACGTAGGTTCTCGTAATCAAAGTAATCTTTGATTGTTTTTTTTAACAGACGCCAACCAGACGTCGGAGAACGTGACAAATGTTTAAAAGACTTTGGTTTAATGTTCTTTTCGGGGATAACAATAATTATTATCCGACTCTATTACTTTATTGTTGTTGGCCGTTCCGAAAATCCATCAAAGGACCCGGGGAAATTGTCCCATAAAACCCCTAAAATAAAATACCCTTGTTTATTAGTGTTATAAGCTTATTTAGTCCATGTTGATATTTTATAACAGCAACTATTTTTAGTTGCAAACATATATGTAATCTTGACACTACTGACTTTTTAAAATTTTGGTCAACGTCAAAACAGTAAATGACAGATTCTGGCATGTTTTTTTCAATTAACAGTGTGCTTGCAAATAAAATAGTATACAAACCTCGGAGGAAAGTTTTATTTCTGTCTCGAGATTAATAGTCAATCTCTCGACAGTAATGAAACACTTTCCTACCCGGTATGTAATATCGTTGATTTCTTATGTTACATGGGATCGATTCATTATACCCATCAACAACAAAAATC